AGCCAGCGCTGCCCTCGGCATCGCCTCGGCCTGTGCGCGCAGGGCTCCTGCTCGCCCGGGGAGGATGCATTCCTTCGGGAAGGAAGAAGAGGTCTCTCTGCAGCGTCTCTTCGCGTTTTTCTGCGAGTGCGTGCGGCACGGGGACTGGGAGCTGGCTGGGGCCTGTGTGCCCCAGCTGAGCCGGTGGCAGGGGGGTGGCCCCGGGAAGGTGGAAGCGGCGCTGGTGGCTCGTCCCGTGGAAGTGAGGTACGTGAGGGACTGCTCTGATTCAGTGTCGATTGAGGAGGAGCAATTAGCTTAGTGCTGGCTGTGGGAGACAGGTAGATTCTGGGAAGTAGCACTAGCTCCGGTGCTGAGGTATCTTGAATGTCTCTGGAGGTGCTTTTATCTGAACATTGACATCACTGATCCCAGAACTTAGCAGACTGCCCAGCCCACTGTGATAATCAGCTCTGTTCATTTATGTAGTTGACATAGTGATTTATACATAGCTTAAAACTACTTGGAAGCATTTCAGAACTGATTTAGTTAGATTTTACTGAAGCAGAAGGAACACCTCCTGCAATTGCCTTACTTCGACACTCTAACACATTTTTAATTACAATTCATTGCAGTTAATTTACACCAAGAGCAGCAGTGCACTACTCTGAAGCATTCTCTTGTTTCGAGCTCTTGAAAAACCTCCTGATTTCTCAATATGTAAACTAAAAAATTCAAACTGTGCTATTGATTTCTTATTTCTCTCACACTGGGTTTACTCAGTCCTTTTGATCTCTGCTTCTCAGGTAGGTGCATACAAGGGGTGACTTTCTAGCTGTTCAGGGAACATTGGAATTCCCCCTATCTAATCAGATGATTGTACTTCTTCACATCAAAGTTTCTACAAAGGTTCTAAGAAACTGTTTACACTGACAGCATTAAAGGAATTTGGAGGAAGCTGTGCACGTGGTTAGATGAATATTGCTAACAGCCATGTGAGACACAAGCAATTTCAATCTTTTTCTCTGTGACAGCTGGGCTATCACATCTAAAGGCTTTAGTAGTTAGCATTCAGTTAGTAGTGCTGAGATTTTCAAGGGACATTAAACTGTCTTGTTCATTTTCCTTTTCCTAGTCCCTTTGACAGCACTGAATGTGTTCCCTAGCTGTGTAGACTTTGGGATGTGTATATAAGTACTGGAGCAGAAGGAAAGCTGATGTAAATCACAAACTTTGTTTAATTAGTAGATTACTTCACTTCTAGTTTGGACACAGAACTGCACTTGGGCTGCTGTGGCCTAAAACTTAGTTTCCATTTTTTATCAGGTGGAACTAGTCAGGACAGAAAATAGCAGTGTTTGGCAAGTGATTTCAAAGAAATGTGCTGAAGTGCTCAGAGGGTTGTGCAGACTGAACTTTAGACCAGAAAAAATGTCATTGTTTCAAAGAACTATGCCAATAGTGTTAGTGTTTGGCTGACCTAAAGGCAGTTATTTGCACACCAGACATTCCTGAGTTAATGTGCAAGTAGCACCAATATTCTGCTTTCTCTGCATTCTCTTCCTGTCTGGCTTGTCTTTGGCTATTTAGTCATCATTGATCTTACCTTACACAAAGAAATACAAAATTCAGAATTAACTCTGAAGTGTTTTCCTGGATCTTGGAGATGGGAATGACCTTGTATAATCTAGTGTGTATGCTTCTTGCTTTTGTAGATGGGGACAGGATTCTAGCTCATGGAGAACTAAATGGCTCTGGCTTCTTGTGCTGGAAAAATGGCTTGCCAGGAATCAGGTACAGAAACATCTAGCTAACTTCCAGGTGCAGTTTATAGCTCTGACTTCAGAGTGCAAAATATGTGCCTAGCTGATTATTTAAATCATAGGCTTTCCCAGGTTTCATGGAGTTTGGTTTTCAAGGTAGCTGTAGCCATGCATTGCTTTTGCATTTAACAAATTTGTCAAGAAACAACTTCACACTGGAGAGAAAAATAGGGATTTTCTTTTCTTTAAGACATGGAAAATTGGCTTTTTAGCTTTGAGAATTTGTATACATGAAAAGCATGAGTGTATCAACTTCTGCATTTGTGTAGGACCTTTCTTACATTAGTGATGGAATGACTCAGGCATCAGACAATTCTTTATAAGCTTGAGAGGGTGAGGGATGTGCATACTATTATTAAAAATTAATTTGTCCTTGTCACTGCTTAGACCTTAATGAAATAGCCAAGATTAGGTTTATATGGTCATGTAAATAGATAAAAGTTTTGCTGGCTAACATCTTTGCCATTCTCAAATATGGTTTCAGAAAACTGTTCCAGTTGTTCTTCGGAGGGAAACTGAATTTTTATTGTTCTTGGAAGAACTACATAAAGATGTTTCTGAGGAAGTCCTAAAGGTGAGCTACTTGTATGCCCTATTTCTTCTTGTTAGTTTTGCAGAATGTCGAACTTTATTAGGTTTTGGGATCAAAGTTAATGTTTCCTGCTAACTTGACTGCCTGAAATTTTAATGTGTTATTAATCTTCTAGACAGCTGAAAGGGACTGTAGTTCAGATCCCTTTCTGAAGTTAATCCAATGTGCCTGCAAGTGATTTCTCTGGCTAGAGTGGAGGCTGCAGGCAGGCAAGGAACAGGTTTTTCTACATGTATTTCTAACACATGTCAATCCTGACTGCAGCTGCTTACCACAGTCTCCTATCTATAGAGACCTGTAGTAATCATAAACCTGAAGCCCACTGTGAGCCAAAGTAAACCATAGTCCATGAACACATTTTACAGATATGTCTAATTTTCTTCTTCTTTCTCCTGAGATCTTAATTTTCCTCTCCTATGCACCCCTTTGTCTCCTTCCTGGAAGTTTTTGGATTCTGTACAATTACTACTGATACTGTTTGGAAGTTGGTTTGATCTGTGCTCTGAGGTCTAAGGCCCGCTTGTCCATTATTAATTAGTACTGGCAGACTGATTTATTGGAGAAATATATGTAGTGCAGAAATGCAGTATGAAAAATGCAGTATAGAACTGAAAATCAGGAAAGTTACTCACTGTAGAAAGGTCCTAACTTGGTGTTAGTTACAACAGGTTTAGACCTGACATGGTGTGTGGAATGCCCTAAGATGTTGATTCTAGTCCTATAGATGTAAATCTTCGAAGATTTTTGTTTTGGTTTGCATTTTTTTAAGAGGAAGATGAAAACTTACTATATTCAGTGGCTATTTGCTGCTTTTAGATATGAATAAAGAAAAGGTGTTCAGTATTTCTCTAGGGATACAGACGTAGCAATTACAGGATGAAAACAAGCAAGGTAAACTTGAATGTTGATTAAAATAAATCTGCTTGAAGACTGTCAATGAGTAATGAAGCCTGTGCATCTTGCCATCTAGCCTCCAAGGCCCTGAATATTTCCACCATTGTCCACCAACATTGCATAGAAAAGCGAGATTCATTGACCTCATATCTTTGTCACAATTACTGTCAGATGCATGTTGGGAGGTAGAGTTATGGTTTGATCCAACCAGTAAAAAAAAATAAAGGATTTTGTGGAGTTGTCTATTGCCATTTTTTTGCACATACCAACTACCTCTCCCCTACAGATTCCCTGAGGTATCTTTTCCAGCCAAGAACAACTCTCACATAGTTCCAGAAGTGTCACAAGTGCTGCTTAAGTGCTGTTCAACTGCCTTGTCCCTCACCTTCCCACCCCTTGTTGGAAGAGCTAATAGGGATTTTTATTTGTTTGTTTGTTTTCCCCTTCCTAGTTCTGGAATTGTAGGTTTGCTTCTGTTAGAAAGAAAAATTATTGTTGCTTAAGAAAGAGCTCTGTGAGGTGGTTTCTGAATCTGCTGGCCAGTTTTAACCGAGTTCGAAAAGTTGATGAGGATGATGTAGTTGGTAGATAGATGGTATGAATCTGGAAAAATAGGATTAAAAACAAAAGACTGGACATTAATCATTATGCTCTTATTGACTTACAAAGATAGTCACATCAGTATATTGCTAGGAGGTAAATTACGGTAGTGCTTCAGCCATCCCTGGGGACTGTCTGTGAACTGCAGTATCCTGCTTGCACATGGTCCTTATAGTGTTCTTGTGTATTATAGGATTCTTTGTATTTGGTTGCATATTCAGGCATATCCACTCTTCTAGGAGAGATATTGGACAAGGTGGAACTTTAATAATGGATTTCCTAGGTAGTGTGGTGTTTCCAATTTAATTTATCTTCTTACAAGTTTCTCCTACTCTTTAAATAATTTATTTCATGTATTAATGGAGTCTAAAAAGCTTACTCTTATTATTTCTCTACCAGGAACTGTATGAAGCATTTCAGTGCACCCAGAACAAGCACATTTCAGAGGGGCAAAGAAGAGATGACTGTTCTCACAGATTCAGTTTGGATGTTGTTTCAGCTCTCCGGAAGCTTTTGCTGCATGCTCCCCAGAGGGCAAAAACCCTGCTGGAGTTCTTCCAGGAGGAGCAAGGCACACACAGCTCCTCACTCCAGCAATATCGCTCTCTACAAAACATCTTTGTTGAATTTCTTTGTGACTCCTTGAAATCTCTGCAGAAACTTCAGTGCAGTTCTGAGGTTTCAGCGCGACCAGATCAAAGAGAACTAGTGGATACAATTTATGCTGCTCTCAGTATAGTGACTTTCGACGTGGAGCATCAGGCAGATGAAATAAGGAACCTTTTCAGGGAGCTCTTGGATGTATGCTGGGCAGAGGGAAGTCCACTCAGGGAGGAGAAGCTAATAAGCTGTATGCTGAGGAAACAGAGCCATGGCCTGTTAAGCCTTTATAGCAGTGTTCTCATAGAAAGAACAAGAGAAAAATTTTTGTTGTCAAAGTCAATACGAAAAGGTTAGTTTCACTTTTTGTTGTGTTTTAATTTCCTGTTTAACAAAACCACCGAGGCATGTCAAGAAGTCAGCAGTGTGCTTACTGGGGTGCAAACAAACCATGGAGTCTTGTGAAAGGTGATGCTAAAATGACTTAAAACAAGGAGCTGGCATCAAAACACCAGTTCTCTCCCTACATTTCTGCAGTCTATGCTGCCTTCTTTTGTGATCATTTTCTTTACCACCCCTTGCTCTATTTTAACCTGCTCAGCATTTCTCCTGATAAAGATTTTGCTTGTAACTAGAAGATTTGACTGTCCATGCATATATAAAGTTTTGATTTGTTCACCTCCAACTCGGGTTCATCAGTGTTAGAGGATGTTCCATTTCAGGCCAGTAACAGTTCAGTTACCTCAATAATCACAAAATGTTCAAACCCCTTAATATTGGAAAGGAAAACTTCTGAAAGTGAAGGAGATGCGGTGTGGGCTGATAATCCAGCTGTAAAGTAGATGCAATTTGATTACCTGCTCACTTTCCAGATCCCAGCTATTAGTTTTGTACCAGCCATAACTTCACAGCCTCTGTCTAACTCCCTGTGGCTGGTACATTCAGGTGAGGATCTCATTTGAAGCTGAATGGCAAGTGATGCCCATGATCTTGTCATGAAAGTGGCAGGGGAGGGTGAAAGGAGGGAGAAACTAGAATGCCTACCCTTTTTGCTGAGTGTGAAAGGAGTGAGAAACTAGAATGCCTACCCTTTTTGCTCACCTCTGTACACTGAGGTGTAAATCAGTGGGGTTTGTATCCTCTCTTCTCCCTTCATTCCTAGGGATTGCTGAAGGGAAGTTCAGGATGGTGTGACAGACTCCAGCACTTCTGATAACTACAGTTAATGCTTCCTTGTAGGCGTAGAGAAGTGGAGATTGACGTATCTTCAGTCTCGCTGGGAGCCGTTCACTTGTTGCTTTGCACAGATCTGAGAAGTTCCTGTGCTGGCCAAGTCTTTGCTAAGGCTCTGCAAAGTGGCACAGTATCTCAAAGCACAAGTGAGAATTCCTGCAACATGCAGATAAGATGCTTAGGTGTAAAGGAGGTCAGACGGTGTGACCTGAGCTAATGCAAACAACTATGTGCTGAGCAGATTCTTGCTATGTCAGTGGCTGTCAAATCTCTCTGCTTGGCCTTGTTATTTAGTAACAATATGTGAGAGTCTTAGCTGTTAACATGTAGCAGCTGGTTGGCGTTTGAGGAAATGCTGAGGGTTCCTCAGTTTAAATTAGGGGCAATTATGCTTATCTCAGGGTGTGCTGGAAGGTAATCTTCTTGTGATGGTTTTTAGGTTCATCTGAGCAGCTGGATACAGAGCGAGCTGTGATGAGTTTGTTCTCAGATCCCAAAGAAGCTCCTTCTTGGAAGACAGCCTATTTCTACTGTTTGAGCAGCAGCAAGCACTTTCTGGAACAGATTCTGGTACAGCCATAAAATCATTAACAGGGAAACCCAACGGAGGCTAAAGTCGGTCCCTGTATTGAACATATCTTGGTGGTGCACAGACACATTTTGTATTCAAATGGTGTTTGCCAGGTGTGATGACTAGTAGGAACAAAGTGGTATCTGGTGATAACTCCACTACCTGCAGCTGGGTGATGAGCATAGAACAATCGGTGCTCATCTGTGTGCAGACTGAAGATTAGCTCTTAAGGATTTAAGCAGTCCTGTGTTCTACTTGTAATTTTGTTGGGTACATTTACCTCATGGCCTTGAACTTGTCACTTTGCTTTTCCAATGCTGGTAGATGTGGGGCAGTGAGACTAGTTTGGATAGTTAGATTTATGCTTTAAAGAACTTGAAGACTTGATGAAAAATAGTCTGTTATGAATTATTTGGCTTGAATGTATTTACACAGATATAAATATTATATAGGGAGGTGGTAGCTGTTAAAGTGTGAGTTTTTTAAGGTTGAAAATATTTCCACATATGTGCTCATGTGAGCACAATGTGCTCACAGAAGTTTCTTATGTAATGCCCTTTACAGAGACATAATCAATAGAAGGAATGTAAAGATAATGTAGTGTGGAGTGTGAGTTGGGTCTGCAGTGAGCATTTGAAATCATATTTTGTTCCTCATCACAGCTTTACTGATGGCTTGGATGATGCAAGTTTAGGGAAGTTTCAGATGCAGAACATTGTCATTTTAGTGAAGCTAATGTTGAAATGGCTACTTGCTTACATAGTCTGCCAGGAGTTATGGGTCTCTGCATTTTGGAAAAATAAGTACTTATTCCTTTTGTTTTCCAGGTGACTGCATTAACTTTGCTCAAAAGAGAGGACTACTCAGGCCTGAGCAGCTTATTGAGGAGAGAATTCAACCCCCTCAGCCGCCTCTTGGTGTTGCTAGGATGGACTCATTGTCAAAGCTTGGAATCAGCAAAGACATTGCTATGGACTCTACACAAAACCCAGGTAAATCAGCAGAAAGCAAGGGGCAATATTCCAATCTGAGCCCAGATAGTGCACCTTGTTTGCAAAAATAAATACAAATAGGGAGTTTTCAGTGAAAATATTTATCTTTCTCCAAATGGAATTAAAAAAGCTAAGATGTTACAGTTGTGTGTAGGTAACATTATTGGACACTTGCCTTTCTTCTTATTCCTCACCTGTGAAGGGAGTATGAGTGCGCAGGGAACTCTGAAAGTTTCTCTTGCATAAACTCTTCAGCCTTTGCTATTAACATAAGAGAGAGAAAGACAGCAATTGTTGATTAGTTTTAGAAAGAGCTGGGGGATGTTTGTTTTGTCATTTCCTCCAGTCAGTCATCCCTGGATAGTGACTAATTCTGGTCATAACTAGCTGGAGTTCAGCAAGAGGGTAGCTTGGAAATTTCCCATATTCATTCGCAAAGTGAAATGGTAAGAGCTGTGAGCAAAAGCTCCACCTTGTTTGGGGCAGCCTTCACCTCAGCTCTGAGTGTGTCATTGCATTTCAGATGATGTCTGCTGGCTGGCAGGTGGCTTAGATGACAGAGGTGGGGAGATGAGGAGCCTTGTACTGCTGGATTGTTGGGACAGACATAGGCGCGTATTGCCTTAAGAGAGTTATTATCTATTGGTTAAAATCGATCCTTTGAAGGTCTATTTAGTAGCCCCTGCAAAGTGAAGCTCTTAGATTTGAATTTAGCAGCCAGTCATTTGTAGTAGAAAGTACATGGAAAAGGAGAATAACTGTATGTCATCTGTTCATGTTTAGTTCTACAGGTTATTGTTTTAGACTGTTTTTAAGAAGCATTCGTGTTTTGAAAGCTAATTTTGAAAAGGGATATAGCCACCTTTCCATGGCCTGTAGATGTGTCAGGGAAGAGGCTGTCTGACTTTGATATTCCATCAGAATAGCCCTTCTTTGCTGGCCTTGTAATAAGACTGACAATTTTCTATATTTTAAAATTTCTGTCCAGGTAAAGAAGCCTTGTGAACATCCTGTACATGACACAGGCTTGGTTCTGCTGTCTGGCTAGAGGATTTGTTATAAAGGGATTCTTTTATTTGTCTTTTCATTTAGGATCTGTGCAATGATTCAGTATTGAAAGATTTTTGTGATGGGCTGTGGGCTCATGTGGAAGTTCTTGAATGGTGCATACAGCAAAACAGGTAAGGTGATCAGAAGGACTTTTTCCAAACTGTCTTCCCAAATCTGCCTATCAGTCAGTTTATGTATGCGAATAGAAATGGTGTTATTTTCCATGAATCTTGGCTAATCATCTGATAGTGACTGTGTGTCACAAGCTCCTGAAATCACTTCATGGGCTGCAGTTACGCCCTTTGTTTTTCTTTTTAACTGCAGTAGTTTGGTTGAATCAGAGAGTAGGAGTTATGTCTTTAAACATGGCTGAGACCTAAATCTGTGCCACCTCGTTCTTTGTTCTCTATTGCAGTATTACTGTCCCAAGGAAGGTTCTTTTGCAACACTTGCACAGTCTGGATTGCCACACTGCAGTGTACTCTCTTCATCATCTCACTAATCTTCTGGCACTGAATGAAGATGATGTTATTGAGCTTCTTCAAAAAGTTCCTGCTAGAGACCAACAGATGCAGGGTAAATGTGTAGGGTCATGAGAACACAAAAAACTGATCCATTGAGTGTATATGCTCAGCATTTCTGCCAGGAAGAATCTGTTCTTTTGACCTGCTTCTGTAAATGTGGAAGATACCATTGTCTCTCAGGAAGGAGTTCACTTCTGTGAGATATCTTTGATTTCACAAGGACAGATCTCTGAAAGAGTATTTTCAAAATGGTAACAAGACCTTGCCCATGCTCACTTCTATACTGTATAATGCCCTTAGTTTGAAAAGTTAAGTGTATGGTTTGGATTTCAGCCACCTGTGCACTTAAATTTAAAATCAAAGGGCAAACCTAGGTGAAATTGATGATAGCTCCTGCTATAGCATCTTAATTTTTGAAAGATACAAAAGGTGGGTTGTTTTTTCTTCTAGGCTTAAGTGTTATGAAATTTACTTAAATAGTAAAATCAGTAAAACCTATAGGCTGTGTTTACATCACTCTTGCTTCACTTTTCTCATCTTCCTGTGTTCCAATTGGGTGCCTAAAATACCTGAGATTACTAAACACATTAGATCACTTAGAAGAGACTCTCCTTGTACACTCTTTTGATTGCAGCTGATGTCCAGGGTTCAGCTGCTGCTATTTTACATTTGTTTTCTGATAGGGCCTCTTAGTGATACAGAAGCTCAGTCTTCCTGCATGTACTAGAACCTAAGAAGATGCAGTTTTTTGTGCCTTATTCCTTCTATAGTTGGGAATTGGTACATATGTAATTTCAACCTGAGTTGCATGGAGAGCTCTCAGTGATGGATCTTGCACAGATTTTTGCAGGTTGCCTAGTGGGAAGCAGTTTGCTCTCCTGCCAGTATCATATTATTGACATGTTGGTTTCCAGTCTTAATTTTACAGGTCTTGGTGTTAAAATTATCATGACACTTGTCTTGAATGGTCTTAAAAGATGTAACAATTGATAAGATGTAACTCTTATGTAGATCTTCATTTTCAGTGTCCTGTTTTCTGACATTGTTTAGTGTTGCTGGTGGTGTTTTTTGTGGGGTTTTTTAATCAGTTCTGCATTTTAATTCTCTTCTGCTTAAATTCTGTCAAAACCTTTCAAAAACAGGAAGAGGCAGTCCCGCCATATCTCCTGGGTGCTGCATGACTGTAGCAAAAGAACTCTAGCTGCGGTTTCTCTTCTCTTTTTTTGTATCACATTAATTTACAGAACTAATTAATGGAAGACAAGTCCTCCCTCTCTTTTCAGCCCAGTGATTATTGCAAAATTCAGATAGTTCTATAAACACAGTTTAGTAGAATCTCCTTTAAAATAATCTATTTTGAAACTTGAAGGAGAGTGTTCAAAAAGTTTTGATTCTTCTGGCATGGTAGTATTAACAGGCCTTTTCTTCACCTCACCCCATGTATTTCCCCCTCTGCTTTCTGGTACACATCTGTCAGCTGCAGTAGTGAAACCCAGGTAGTGGTACTGGTAGGCAATTATGTTCAGGGAGTGTGTAACATTGGTTTTGATCAGTCACACTAACAAAAGAAATGGTGGACAGCAATTTCCTCACAAGTTACCGAATTCAAGAGGAAGCTGTTAGCATTTCTGGCATAGGAAAACCAAGTGCTTATAGTTAAAGTGTAATTCTTTCGTATTGGTACAAGGGAGAGTGTTGGTTTAGGTGCAAATGGTGACACAGGCTCACTGACTCCAAGTCTTTTCCCTTGTGAGGCAAAAGTGTTAAACTTCTTTTTTATTACCAGTATGTATCTTGTAGTATCTCCAGATAACTATTTCTCTGTTTCAGAGGATCATATTTATCAAATCTCTGGTTTTACTTGCCTGAAGTCCTCTGAAGACAGTGGCATTGAGAACTTTTTGGGTGTCTACATATTAGTTTAGAGCTGCTGGTGAACTCTTAACATTTCAATGGCCATATGGGTTCTGCGAAGGATTCAACTGTGATATCTGTTTCTTAGTACAAATGTGTAGGGGTGGTGGTACTCTATTCTCATGACAGTCATAGCCAGTCTACACTGCCTCCCTACTTACCTACTGTTTGCTAGAATGCAAAATTCTAAATGCTGAAACAGGACAGGGTTTGCCCTCTGTTGTAAATGCAGTGGTATAGCTTAGCCACATACCTCTAATGAGACTCATTATGGACAGATTTTGGTCATTCTCTGCTGTAGCCAAGTCCTGTGACACAAATTCGGAGAAAATTTCCTTTCTAAAAAGGGATTGAGGCATAGCTGGATCTGTGTCTGTCTGTTCTGGTTTGGGTTGTTAGAGCTTTTTTTCTTTCCAAAAGTAACAGTGAGATAGGTCAAAGCTGAGATGGAAGTGGCACTGGGGAAGAAAGACTGCATAAATACTACTGTGCAGGAAATGCAGGAGAAAATTAATGTGTTTTCTTGTCTACTTCCTACCCCCTGACTGCCCTGATTTCCATCCACAGCAGCAACACTCCCTAACACCCTGAGTCAGCAACGCAACCTGGCACTCTTTCGAGCGTTTTGTGCCATGAAGTATGCTATCTATGCTCTCTGTGTGAACTCACATAAGCATTCCAACTGCAAGGATTGCCTGCGCAGCCTTCTTGGTGATATCCCTGAGGATGCAACTTTGGGAGAACCAGCAGGTGATTGGCTTCCTTTCTTAGGTTCTGTAGCTTATGCTTCTCTCATTGCTGGGTTCTGAATTATCTCTTAGTATTGGGATAATGTTGCACCCTGTGTACATGTGGTGGTTTTATTCAGTGGGCTATGGATGCTTTGCACACACATATAATGGCATTTCTTAGAGATGTTGTTATCTTTAGTAATAATAGATATGAATAAGGTATCTGCCTTGCTTTGAACATTTAAGGTAGTTATGTAAAAATTATAGTGCAAAAAGAAGGTGCTATTAGATACAGGGTGGTAGTGGCAAGGATGCTTTCATAAGAGCTTATGATTTCCCAGAGCTGAAACTGATTTAATGGCGAAAATGGGTGTAATCTGAGTTTGCACATCATTGCACTAGGTGCTAACTGGCATTACTCAGAGGGAGGAGGCACATACCTTTTTAAATGTAAACTGTTGGATATATGTTTACTTGATTTGTGGAGGAATGATTGGGACAGTTCCCTCTTCTAGGATTTTCTTAAGAGGGACAGGTTGGAGGAAAGAATCCCTGAAAAATGTAGTAAATGTTCTTTATTTTTGTTTTTAATTGTACAGATTGCTCTTCAGTATTTCTTCAGTACATTGCAAAGTGTCAGCAGTTTTTAAGGAGTGTCCCTGCTCCTCTGCGCCTGGAGGTTTTGGAGAATATTTTCTCCTTGCTTTTTGTTTCCTACAGTGACCTCTATACTGAGACTCTTCTACCCGATGATTATGCAGAGGATGAAGACCTTGACAAAAGGAGTACCACTACAGGTGTAGAAGGCAGTGCTAGTCTGCAGTCTTCCACCTCAGGAAGTCCACAGCACCTGATAGAGGCTGAAAAGAAATCAGAGAGGCATCTGCTGGCTCCACAGACAGTTCACACAGATACCCAAAGTCTTTGTGACTCGATGTTAGGTGACAAAAGCTCTGCAGCCTCTACGTTGAGCTACCTCGACCTGAAACACTTCACCAGTGATGTTACTGGATTTTTAGTGGACGACGTGGCCGTGGATGCCTTCCTCACATTGCTTCTCAACAATCTGGAAGAAATTCAGAGTTGTCTCCCATGGGACTCTAGTAATGTGCTTCGTGAAGAGCTGGACCTTGTTGAGTGCTTGAACCTTTCTGCAAGCAGAGATGCCTTTGGAAGTCGTGTGTTACAGTTTTCCAAATACCTTTCTGAAGCTCACTGGCGATACAAGGTGGTGATGAGTAACAGAAATACAGGTAGGCTTTGTATGTTGCACTTTCTCATACATCAACACTGTGCTGTTACAGCTGTCCAGGCAATAATCTCAAGACTATAATCCCTGAGCATCTTACTGAGGGGGCATGTTTTGGCACATATTGGGAGAGTGACCTCGTTGGAGATCAGCTGGTTCATGCACCATTCTCCAGCAAAAATGATCTCTGTTTTAATCAGAAGGATTGGATTTTCTTTTTCTTTTTTTCCCCTCCCCTTTGTGAACACACTGATTCTGTTTGCCTGTCTTTATCCTATCCCTTCCTCACAAGTTATGTTGACAGTGCAGTGATATGAAAGGACATGGTGGTACATGATCCATTGCAAGCCAAATAGTCTTGACTCAGTCATGAACAGTTGTGATTTAGCCCAGTCTGAAAACATGTTAGGAACATGTATGAGAGGGAGTTGCATTCTTCTGGGATGATTCTTGGAGTAGCTAGAGCAACACACTCAGGAACCTATTTCCCCTCCTTCTCCAAATACTGTAATTTGTTAGCCCTGCTGCCATCAGGCTTTTTCATGTCATATGTGGCTTATTGTGTGTCTCAGACCATGCAAACTCCATGTCCCAAGAAAGACTGGACAGTGTGGACCTTAAATGTTGTAAGTTTCCAAACTTGTGTTGGACTGTTTCTAAAGTCTCCCTCTGTAAGGAGGGGATGTGATGGGACTTACTTTGAGTAGGCAGCCCTCAGTGTTGTATTGGACAGGGAGCAGCTCTCTGTGGGATTCTGTACTTTTGAGTCCTGACTTCTGCCAAATGGTGACAACTCTTTGGGTGTGTTGGTGGAGTGACTGAGCAGATGTGTAGTGCTTAGTTGCACCAAGTGTTGGGGAACTTCTTTTAGGGAAAGGTGTCTGGCTGCTTTTGGCATTGCATATCTTTTGGATTTTCTGTCTCTGGTACCCTCATAACTTGCTTACTTCCAGAATGGGTGACTGAGTCAGGGTTCATACTACCCTGCATTAATGAAGAACCCAACTGTTTCAGCAAAACCTTAGTGGCCAAACTCTCTCTTTTACTATTATAATTCTTACTCTTTTTTCTTTGTTTCTAGCATGTTTCCTTATGTATTTGGACTACAGCTATTGTTCTGTATAGTTAGAATCATTTATGTTGGAAAGGACCCTTAGTACTCAACAAGGATGTATAGAAGGTATAGTATGTTCCAAGCAACGTTGGATGTGAAGGTGAAAATTACAGTGTTAGCTGAATCACATCAAAATTATGTCAAGGTGCTGGTTTAAACTTTACTGCAAAAGAGCTCTTAGCTGAGATCAACTGTGTTTCCTTTGGAGACTTGCCCTCAGAGTTCTACCTCTGTAGGTGTGCTGCTGGATTCTTTAAGGTAGACAAATAACTGCTCATGGCCTGTTCAGCTGTTTGGTAATGTTTTTGCTTAAATGTTTCACAGAACATCAGCTTGCAGCCTCCAGGAGATACTGCTCTCTAATCAGGTGCTCCAGCTTTAAGAAACGAAGCAGATCTCGAAGGGACAAGACAGGTGGGTTGAAAAAGTGACTTGAAGAAGACATCTCTGAAATGTGCATAATTTTGCTGAGCTCGTGGCTGAATGCAATTAGATTTAATGGCCTAGGTGTAGAGAACTAGATTTATTTCCTTTAACTGGTTTGAAGTATCTTAGTCCAGTTCCACTTGGATTGAGGCTGTTTTCCTCAAGCTCACCTGCACAAATAATTTCTTCCATACATAGTCTGATTTGGGGCAGGAGAGAACTTCAGCTTCAGTACCAATTTTTCACTTTCTCCACTGTATCCAGTGAATGCTATAATTTCATTCCTATCACAATATTATCTGGGATGTGAATTTGCAGGAATTTGTGATGTAAATTGGCAGCCTTAGGAGAAAGTTGTGGTCCTCACTCCTTTTCTATTTAGCCTTTAAAAGGCACGTCTGGTTTTGGAGTGGCATGTTCCAGAATAAGAAGCTTTAAAGTATCTAGCATGAATGACTGATGGGCCACCCCAACATAGTCTCTTGCCCAGCATTTTCTTTAAGTCAGCAATTTTTACATTTAGCATAGACATCTGTGGTGGCTCATTTGTGAGGTAGTCTTGAAGATCTCTTAAGACTGCCTGATCTGTTATTTGCAGTAAACTTTAATTATTTTGTCTAGGAAAAGTGCATTTAATATGCTGGTTTTGATTTCTTTCCATTGTAGATGGGAAAGAGGAAACTTCCAGTCCATCATTAGAAAGTACAAGTAGCGAGCTAAGCACCAGTATCTCAGGTATTGAGCCACAAATGTAGTATTTCTTTGTCTTGTCCATGTGCATGATGAAGTATTTGCTTGACTAGTTAATGTGAATTACTGTTCTGTGCAGGACAGAATGATAACTTTTCACTTCTCAGAGCTCCCATTTTTGGCTGACTTATTTTCTAGTTAGAATAGTGTATATGTTGTCTTTGGGAATAAGAAAATGAGGTTTGTCTTAATAACTTTGGCTTGCAGGAAACGGTGTGCAATGTAGTGATGTGCTAACCATCAAAAAGCTAATGGGCTGGTAGTCATGTAACCTACAACATGCTCAGGCATGCTAGATTGATTTAGTAGGTCCAACACATTAGACTTCTCCCTTTATCCATATTGAACCAGTGTCCTGGCATTGTGTGCATGTTACATAGCTGCTGAGCAGTATTACGTTGGGATGAGATCCAAACTGAAATTTCTTACCAAGCAGTGAAGTACTGAGAATTTTTAACAGGATGTTTGTGCTGGTCTCTTTGTCCTAAAACTTGGATGCAACTCTGCTCCTATATTTTTGTGTTAAACATGTGAAGTGCTGTCATCTCATAGTTGGCTGTTATCTGTTTTCCCTAATGGTTCACTGATTGATTCTGTCTTGCAGAGGGAAGTACCAGTAGCGCGTCTGGCTCGAGTGATTTGGAAAGCAGGGTGAGACCACGTCAGCAAAACCCCATCATTCCTATGATGCTTTCCCCACCAGAATCACTCTTAGTTTCTTGTGTTTTGAGAGGAAACTTCGTAGAAGCTCATCAGGTAAATGAGTTGCACGTATCTTGAGAGCTGATGAAATTCCTGCTACTGCATTAGCTAAGGCTAAAGCATCTGCACTCCTGTTACGATCTGCTTAGTGAGAGATGTCTCTGCCCAAATTAAGCTGCAAGTGAGACCATATGCTGAAGTCATTAATAAATTAATAATGTAATAGTATCATAGTATGGGTTTTATTTGATTATAATTGTTAATGTGAGGTGGAGAGATTGAAAGAAAGAAGAAAGAGGGAGAGAATGAGGGGGCTAAAGCATCTGCACTCCTGTTACGATCTGCTTAGTGAGAGATGTCTCTGCCCAAATTAAGCTGCAAGTGAGACCATATGCTGAAGTCATTAATAAATTAATAATGTAATAGTATCATAGTATGGGTTTTATTTGATTATAATTGTTAATGTGAGGTGGAGAGATTGAAAGAAAGAAGAAAGAGGGAGAGAATGAGGGGGAGAGAGTGTGTAAGGGAGGGAGAGGTAGAGATAGTTACCACCCATGGATCCAGCAGCATCCTGTTGGTCCATCTTCACCCTGGGCTTCTCGATGGTAGAGGTCCCAAGTCATTCTTCTGGTGGTGGGGGTCTCAGGTTGCTCATCTGGGGATACCACCTCTCTACAGTCCCAATTTCTGAGTATCCGTGGAGGCATATTCCATGTGAAGGGAGGATGGCTGTGCCTTTATCTGCATGCTTCCTGGGGGTGGGGGTTCGGTGGTCGCAGATATCACCTGTCCAGGGTGATCTTTGGTCGGTGATATGTGTATGCAGTTTGGCACAGTGGGAATTTTTGTCCAGAGACATTAATCAGGATGTGCTAACCAGATCTCACCTCTGCCAGACCTGGAATTAGCATAAACTCATCTCCTTTGTGCTTATCTCAAGTTGTCGCCTTGATGGCTAGCACGTCTTAGGGTGAATCTCTTTTGTGGTCTTAACAGTGTTTGAGACAGGCAAGGTATTCTTTAATTCCTTACAACTCTGAGAGAAACAATCACTTCAGAAGTAGAAGCAAGTGAAAGGAGCAAAGATATTCCAAACCAGCATCCCAAAAATACTGGGTTTTTTCTGGATTTTCTTGTGTCTTGTTATGTTTTCTCTAAACCTAGTTTCTCAAAGCATGAAAATGTTTGAGGAGAGCTAGCCAAGCATAGTGTTTCAGCTGAATGAAGAACACAAAGAGCTCATGTGAATCCTCAGGAGGAAGCAGCATCTGAACTGCTTACTTTAATCAGTGAATCAAACCCATGGCACTCTGCCACTTGTAAGCTTGGCAGAAACGCACAAATGTATTCCTTACCCAAAGCAGAGCCAAAGTGGTGATTACATTTATTTGAAGGAGGTATGTTTTGAGGCTAAATTCGTGGTATTGAAAAGAGGCAGAAAGACTTGAGATTGACAGTCGGCATATTTGTAGTTCTTTGCTCCCTCACAGTTGTGTATACCTTTCTCTGTGTGGCTTTTGGGCTGATGCTCTGAAAAAAACATCTTGAGGTGCATCAATGATTGGACTTTCTGCAAAAAGCTGTGACCTGGCAGTGTTTCAGATGTCTGTATCAGAGCAGTTAATAGGTTTAAGCATTGCATTAACATCAGGTTACTCCTCAGCCCATTAGTTCTGTGTGCTGCCAAGCATGTCACTTCATCTTTTCCCTACTTACAGGGCCAAAGGAGCATTTTGTTTTGCTTTGTAACCTCAACTTTCAGTATTGCTGATGATAAAGAATTCAAGCTTGGCTTGTGTTCTGGTGTTGGTTTGATAACAGGAACTTGCACAGTTCTGCTTAGCTACTCTGTGTTTAAATTTCTCGAGGGTATTCCTTGCTGAATAAGAATTTGTTTAAAATAGGTTACTTTGGAGCCCAACTTGATGCGTTTCTCTCATTACCCAGTGTATTGAAAGCATGAAGAGTCGTTCTGAAAGGCCTGGATTACAAAAATTATTTAAACCCTAGGCCTGCAACAAATAATAGCTGAGCTTTATAAAAGTGGTTGAAAAACGTCTCTAAGGTCCTTTTTTTTTCCCGAGCACTTCAAACTCCCTTGAAAGAAAAATCATTTCAGCCTGTTGTGTCTGTGCGTCTCTAAGGTCCTTTTTTTTTTCCAAGCACTTCAAACTCCCTTGAAAAAAAAATCATTTCAGCCTGTTGTGTCTGTGGAGATGTTTTTCAGTTAAACTGTTTTATTTTATTCCCGCATCTCCTCTAAACACCCCCAAATTGTTTGACTTTTGACAGTTTCTTTTGCCATGCTCTGTAATTGCATCCATTGTTATTTTTGAAAGGTGGCTTTGATGTTTAATCTGGATACTTCCCCTTGCTATGGTGAGCTGGGTTTCATGGAGCGCTACCAAGAAGCGGTGCGAGAAATGGCCAGAGTGGAGCACAATATTGAGAATCAAGCATCAGATGGCTCTGGAGGCATCAGGAAATCTGGCAGTGGCTGTTCAACACTGCAAGCTATTGGGAATGCAGCAGCAGCTGGTAAGGACTGGGCTCTTTGAGTTCTCATAAAAGATGAGGGAGAAGTGGAAAACAGGAGAAAGCAGTTTGAATACTGTCAGAAGGAGTGCAGTGTTTGTTCAGAAGACTAAGTGTGGTTCTTTGAGTCAAAAGGACACTACGAATGCTGAAATTTGCTGTTGATGCCCAATTAGTTGTATCCACTCAGCAGTAACTGGTCCATGAAGCAGGTCACCTATGGAATTATTTTCTGTAAGGGTTAAAAAATAGTTACCCATGATGGGATCTGAACTAATTACACTGTTTAATTAGTGATTGTGTGTTTTGGTCACACATGTAGGTATGGTATTTTATTCCATCTCGGATGTTACTGATAAATTGCTTGCAACTTCTGGAAGTCTTGCCCCTACTCTCCAAGAAAACTTCTGGATCAGGAACATCCAGCTGGAGCATACTGATTCTCTGCGGGAAGTCCTTGAGGACCTCAGTCCTTCAGCAATGGCAGCATTTGACCTAGCGTGTACTCAGTGCCGTCTTTGGAAGACATGCAAACAGCTTTTGGAAACAGCAGAAAGAAGACTGTATAACAGCCTTGAAACTCGGGGTAGGCTTTTGATTTTTGTGACTATCAACATGGGCCTGGGAACAGAAAATGCCTTTCTATGCTGTTTTGTTTGTGCTAATACCTGAGTCTTAATTCAATCTCATTTTGTACTTTTGTATTAGTTTCTCCTTTTTCCACTCCTAACTTCTGTCTCCCTCTGCACTATGACTGTTCCAGGCCACCGACCTGACTTTGTTTTACTGCACTCTGAAGGTGTAAAGGGTTTCCCAGCACTTCTGCAGCAAATAAGTAAAATTCTCAACTATTCCTGCACGTCACAAGGTCAATCCAAGCCAGGTAGTATGTTTTGCTGATCAGGCTTTCTGTTGAAAGGTGCCTAAATCAAATTCTTGCCTTCTATGCCATGGGAATTTGAAAGGGGGGAGGACACAACCCAAGCTCAATTCTAAATAAACCGAAACGCTCTGAATTTGTTGTATTAGAATACTGTTTGGGTTCTATGGGCCTTTTTCTGTGCAAAAATACTTACTCATGTCTTTGTTACAGTTGCTGTTTCTTTCTCCTGCTTTGTAGAGGTCTCAGATGAGAAAATAGGAAGTCATTTTCGATGCAGCATTGTAGACCTTCTGCAAGCTTGCTACCCTGCCTTAACTGAAGAAAGTATTACTAATGAAATTGTTTTGTCACAAAATCTGGATCAAATCCTAAAAGCACTGACATCTGTTGAACATTCTGTGGGTGAGTTATTTTTGTGATCATGGAGACTGATATATGGACCTAAATTTTTGCTTTGACCTGTCCAGACAACAATAAATTTAGTGGTAATGCTCTTTGACATATGCATAAATGTATATTTTAAATGCTTTGACCTGTCCAGACAACGATAAATTTAGTGGTAATGCTCTATGACATATGCATAAATGTATATTTTAAAAATCATAAATGCAAAGTCTAAGTTTATCTGTAATTCTTACATTCTAGGAACATTTGTTTTCAAAGCTAAAATTTTGAACTTGTCAGAGAAGTTACTTGTCCAATTTCTCTTTAGTCCTAGCAAGGAATTCTTTAAGTGCATTTTAACATGGCAGCATATAGATAATTAGGTGTATCCTTACTGTTGCTTCTTTTTTTTAATAACAAAATGGAGATAAACTTATAAAACTCCTATAATATCGTAATGCCTTCCAATTTTCATAGGACTTTCATAAAACATCACATCCTTTTCAGAAGAACTCTTCCACAGTTCCCTTTTCTCACAGCTCTCTTTGTTATATAGCACTGGTGTGTTTCCTTATAGTTGTTTTTCTATTCCATTTACCAAATTTCTAAATGGCTTGTTGATGTTTTTAAAATATTTAAAGATATATATGCTTAATGAGCAAAGATTTGAGAGTTCCAAGAGCTAAATGTTGTGGAGCACAAGGACTGGTCAACACCTGAGTTTTAGAATAAGTGTTAATGACACGGAACTAGGTGTATTTTAGGTCTGCCTTAATATATTTTGAACTTGTCAGAGGCATGGTTACCAATTTAGATGAACTACAGGTTAATTCTGCTGAGACAATTTCTCTTGTTTTCAATTAAATTATAATGCCTATACTGAGATCTATAATTGTAGAGAGAAACTGACGCTAAAGCATTTCTCTTTCTTCCCCAACCTTCCACCCTCTTCCTTCTTGGCATTTAATACTTGAATCTTGTCTGTATGTCTGATTTCTTAAACCAGACTCTAAAGGAAGTCTGCTTGGCACCTTGGTGGAGCAAGGCTCTCTCAAACCTACAGAGCTGGAGAAACACCTGGTTTGGAATCAAACACAGCTCCTACTGAGAACTCTTGACCAATGTGTCCCAGCCATGCCAGAGAGCAGCATGCAGACAAACTTTGTGAAGGCCTTCCTCGACTACATCACTACACTGGCTGCTGTTGTGTTACGAAGCCTGAATGCAGAGCTAGGTAAGGGGTTTCTGCTGGAAAGTCTGAGCTTGG